TACCACATTACTCATTTATGAGGGAGGAAAAACATTTTTGCTTGATGACAGCATTAGTGACCCACACCATTCATGTTGTTATTTTATGGCAGCAGTGTGAAACCAGCATCATATGCTACTCAAACTTTTCACCATACCTCATCCTTCCAAGTAACCAAAGGCAGACTGAGCACTTTTCAAGAGTGATCACTTGGGGCCATTCTTGCAGGTGAGATAAAACACCAACACATCATTTCATCTGTCACAACAACTAAGGTAACCGACTAAAATAATGCCAGAGGCCAGTATCCTGTCACCAAGTCATCCTTAACACTAGAAGTCCTTGACATTGATGCAGCATCCTTAGAGCCACCTCTTGGAGAAAACAGAACCTCTGACACTCCTGTTTTTTGTAATCTGTCAGCCAGAGCTTCCTGATTGGACCTGATTAACAGCCCCAATTAAGGAATCCATATTCTGAGATCTACCTGGCTGACCTCAGTACAATCACTATATGCCTCTCCCTCCGAGTCCAATGACAAGTGTTTTTTTTTTTTTGTAGCACCTCCTGGGGCATTTTTGCACTGGATCAGGTTCCACCAACTCTGCCTCTGATGCAGGCAACAGGCAACAGGCAACACACAGTAGCTTGCCTCTTGCGCCAACAGCATCTCAAAAGGAAATTCATTCTCTTCTTCAGGTGGCAAAACCACCATGGCCATCTCGGATTCCAAAGTATCGTCAACACTTGGAGAGGGAAAACCCACAAGTTCCGGAACAGTCAGAAAGGTAGTCGAAGAACCAGACATGTTTTGCTCCTACGCCATTTGCGGGTTTGCAGCTTTCATATGATCCACTTGCTAGTTAAGTACAGTTGCACCTACCCCAACTTTATGCATCATGGAGGGTTCTGATGATCAAACGGTCACAGGAACCAAAACGTTAACTGATTTTTTTCTTCACAGATGCTGCCAGACCTGCTGAGCTTTTCCAGCAACTTGTGTTTTGTTTGTGCATCTCTGGACTTGACCTTGTGTTGACCATGCCCGTTTTCCCAATTAGCAACCCTGCCGGAGCTATCCTTGTACTTGCATAAGGAGTGGTCCTATAATCAATTAGGAACCGGGACAGTTTAGTATCTAGTGAAGTATCCAGGCTGTTTCTTTAAGTCTGCCTTCAAAGTTTGGACTGCTCTTTCTGCCAGACTATTGGCTGATGGAAGGTATGGAGCTTATATATCCTTGCATGTCAAATGCCATTGGGACTTTAGGAAATACTCAAATTCCCTGCTGGTAAATGAGGGCCCATTATCTCTGACCAACACTTCCAGTAAGCTGTGTATTGCAAAAGATACAGTTTTGTCTATCAACTTCCTGGTGTTTGACAAATGAACTCTATGCAGGTGTAGCCACTCTGCGTAGGCGACCACAACAACTAAGAACATTGAACCCATGAAAAGAACCTGCATAGTCAACGTGTAACCAAGTCCAGGATTTACCCAGCTATTCCAATGAATGTGGAGAAGATGGTGGCAGTAAATTTTGTCCTTGTTGGCACTCTAGGCACTGCCCCACCAACATGGCAAAGTCTGCATCCAATCCTGGCCAACAGACAATCTATCACCAACATCTTCATTTTGGAAACTGTGGATGATCCTGGTGGAGTTCAGCCAGGTGTCCACCAGCAACCTTGGCTTGGGACAATCGTTCTTGCTTCCCATAATAACATACCGCCCTCTATGATCTAGTCTCTCCAGGTCTGAAAAGGTCCCAATTCTGGTTGTGATAGCACTTCGGTTTCTCACATCGCCAGCTGTTTCAGTTTTTCCAGGACCGGATCTTTCTGCATCCAAAGTCTGATACTATCAGCTGTGACTAGAAGTGTGTCCAAAAACTATTACAGGCTCTTCCAGTGGCAGTGGGATCCGCCAGTGGGAGGTGGCTCAACATATCCTCATTTGCTACTTGGCCTCCCAGACGATTTGTAATTATGCTCACATAGTATTAGAGCTCACCACCGAATTCAGCCTGAAGCAATGGGCAGCACTACCTTGTCCTCTTTTGGCCTTCTGGTCTATTATTACAACAAATTTAGGCATGTAAAAGGTATTGGTGGAACTTCCCAACTCCAAGTATGACTGCCAAACCTTTCTTCTCTATCAGGGCATATTTACACTCTGCATTAGCCACAGTCCTGGATGCATAAGCTACTGAGCGTTCCTTTCCATTGGGCCATCTATGAGCTAACACTACTCTGAGGCCATGCAGGGAGGCATCACATGTCAATACCAGATCTCACCTGGGATCAGTGTGCCAAAACCTTGGAGGATGATAGCTGTTTGTTCACTTCCCTAAAAAAAGTTATGGCTTGGCTATGCGGTCATTTCCAAGGTTGACCCTTTTTTAAGGCATGATGCAAAGATGCCAGGATGAGTTATGTATGACTTTTCCACAATAATTCACCAGCCCAAGGAAAGACCCAAGCTCTGATACAGACATGGGAGCCGGGGCACCTTTGATCACTCTCCCTCTATCGTCCAATGGATGTAACCTGGTCGTGTTGACTCTCGCCCAAGCAGGTCACTTGGGGTGCCTGGAAAGCACCTTTATCCCCCCCGAAGGCATAGTCCACCTGGGAGAAACATCTAAGCACTATGATCAAGTTCTCCAAGTGCTCCTCATTAATCTTCCTTGTTAATACTGCATCATCTAGATAAACGGGGTCCTGGGGTTGACCTTGTAAAACGTTCTCAATCATCCGCTGAAAAATTGCACAGGCTGACGATACACGAAATCCCATTCTCATCACCGCTGGAATTAACTCCAGGTGCCAATATCCCATCACCAAGTCACCCTTTATTTACACGAGGTGAGTCCTTGACACTGATCCAGCTTCCTCAGTATCATTTCTCAGAGTGAACAGAACCTCTGACACTCGTCTATATCTGTTAGCCAGGGCTCCCTGATTGGGACTGTTACCCTGGTCCAATCAGGCAACTCATTCTATGATGTTCACCTGGCTAACCTTGCTATAATCACTACACTGACCATACTTAACCAGCTCGCACATACAAAAACTTGCAACAGTTTCCAGCAGTAGATGTTGACTTTAAATCCAGACTGAGTCTGACTAAAATGGATAGGAAGTAACCATCTGCAGGAAAATCAACATCAGAGCAATGGGAACCATTCAAAAGGCTTGCAAGGACAATGCAGGGCCAACAGGTTCACATAAAAAAGGTGAAGGGGGAGACAAACCAGTCCAGACAACCCTGGATTTCAAAAGGAGTGTACAGAATTGGATAAGAAAAAGGAAGCATTTGGTAGATATAGAAGGCTCAAAACATTACTTGTCCTAGAGTATTGGAAGTCTAGGGGATTGTTTAAAAAAGAAATTAAGAGCATGAAAAGACACGGATGACGACATTAAGGAAAATCCAAAAGACATGTTGCAAGAATATTAAAAGATTAACCAGGGAGAGAGTCGGGCCCATTCAGGGCTAAATGACAATCTGGGTGTGCAGCCAGAAGAGACAGCTGAGGTTTTAAATGAGTATTTTCTATATCTGTATTCACAGCGGAGAAAGATATTGTCGGTTTAGAAATCAGGGAGGGGGATTAGGATATACTTGGACAAATTAGCATCGAAAGGGAAGTAGTATTAGAGGTTTTAGTACGCTTGAAAGTAAATAAATCCTCAGGAACAAAAGCAGAAGTTGCTGGAAAAGCTCAGCAGGTCTGGCAGCATCGGAGAAGAAAAAATCCAGGGTTAACGTTTCAGGTCCAGTGACCCTTCCTCAGAACTGAGGAATAAATCTCCAGGCGCAGTTGATATATCCAAAGCCGACTTAGGTGGCAAGGAAAAAGGGATTGTGAAAATTCATGTCGGAGCCTTTACAATCTCTTTCGTCACAGGAGAGGTGCCCAGAGGACTGGAGGACCATTATTCAAGAAGGGTGATATTGATAAACCAGGAAACTACAGGCCAGTGAGTTTAACATTTTTGGTAATGAAACAACTGAAAAAATTCTGATGGACATATTAATCAAGGATAGTCAACAGGACTTGGTCAGGGTGAGATAATATTATAAAAGTCTGATTGTATTTTTCCAGAGGTGGTGACTAGGTATGTAGATGAGAACAGCACAACAGTCTACATTATGTCCACCTCAGCAAATGGAGATGGCTGCTTCACCTCAAATGGGACAAAAGAATCTATTAAAGTACACTGATGCCAAGGGACAGAAAGGGATTAAAATCACTGTTACATAGGTTTTGATTGTAACAGCTTGATAATGTACTTAAAAAAAAAACGCAAAAAAGATCAAATCCCACAGCATTAAAGACAACAAAGTAACAAGACAGAGATGAAGAACAGTAAATAAAAATTAACAATTTTATGCGTGTGCACTGATAAAAGGAACTTAAATATCCATTGTAGTCATTAGGCCCAATCTGCTGAATAGGATCAAGCAATGACCCAGGAGAAGAAAAAAGTGGGATTAAAAAACACAAGCAACATTTCAGTTGGTCTTGCACATCACTAAATTTCTGCAGCAAACCAGAGGAGTTGAAGAACAACAAGACAACGCCTGTTAGTTACCATTATAATGTTGTTCTCAACAACGGTAGCTTAAAATAATATCCATCCTTGGTAAATTTTCCCCAAGTACATACTCAACTACGTAAAACCTGAAATACAAGAAGTTTACTGGGTTATCACGATCTCGGACTAGTCAGTTGGAAGGCTCTCTGCCGATAAGTAAAATTTTAAGGCAAAGTTGCCTTACTATTTAAGGTGATTAATGCTGTAAATAAAATATAAACAGTGATGTGTATACTGTCCCCATTACATTTCTATTATTAAGCATGCGTTTTTACATTGATTATGTGAACATCTTGACCAACTGGAATATTTCATCAACCAGCACACTCCTGATGCCACAGACACTGGTTAATAAAAAGGTACTCAAATTTTCAAAATTTGAAAAATGTAACTGCACTCAATCCAAATTAACTCACCTTTCCACAAGCTCTGCAGTGATGTCGCCTCTTTGTAAATGTAAACTTCTGCTCACATTTCATGCAGTTTGGTGCTTGGGAATCTGGCACCCATACTGGAGCAACATCACCTAGAGATGGAAATGGCTTCCTGAGAGCTCCTGGAAATTGTCCAGCTCCTAGGTCATTATCTGGACTTTCAGATCCAGAAGTATGATCAGACTTGATATCTTTAGAAGCCCCAACATAAAACACACCTAAATCATCACTGTTAACGCTGCAATCTGGTACTAAAGCACTACCATTCAAAGCACACAAGAGGGAATCTTCCAGGGGCTCAGCTTTATCAGCAAAACCTACATTTTTGTTCTTTGTATTGTTGTCCGGGTTGGCGGATCCCAAGTCATTCAATAATTGGTTAGTCAAAGGTTTTGGGATCTGTAATTTGAGGTTCAAAGGTTGTTTGGGTCGAGCACCTCCAAACGGAATACTAACTAGCTGTCCGTTATTCAGAGCTAGTTTTGCCGCATTCTCTCGTACACAAGTTATTGCAGCAGACTGGGCGGGAGTGTTAAAATAGTTGTCTTTTAATTGATCAGCAATATCAGTAGAAATACTTAATGTGGTTAAACCATTCATCAATCCTGTTTCCATTGCATCACTTTCCCGGTGTTGGATGTAGTTGTAACATTCTGACTTGCTCTCCTCAATCTCCTTCTCCTCAGTAACAGAATCCTCCTTTAAAGGCAAAGGTTTAGAAACACAAGCTGTGGCTGAAGCTGGGGTGGATCTAGAGTCTAATCCATCACATAAACAGTAAGGTGTTGAAACCTGTTCCTTCATATCAGCACACACAGTAGTTGAACCTTCTAACCAATCACCACTCGGAACCACGGTGTCCGCTAATGGCTCTGTTAGAACTAAAACAATCTCATCATTATTTCCAAAGGCTTCCTTCATAACCCCATTTTGTACTAATGCATTGTCTTCCAGTGCTTGATGATTGCTTTGTCTCACATGCTGAATTACCTGGTTAAATATTACTTCAGAGCAAGATGATAGTTTACTTGCATAAGACAGGTCAGTAGTACATCCCTGCATGAACAGATTGTCATTGCTTTCTCTGGTTTTTTGACAAATACTTTCACTCATACTACTGACACCGCTCTCAAAATGGTGACCATCATCTCCATAATTACCACTATTTGACAAATTATATTGTTCTGACGTCAGATTTGGGTTGCTATTTACAGTACAGATATCATGTCGTTGAGGTTGTGTTTTCTCAGAGTTTATTTTTAGCCCAGTAAAATTATCCAGGTCATCCAATATCTGTGTATTAGTGATTTCAGGCAAGTCTCCATCCACATCATCTTCAGTTCTCACCACTATATTATTTTCAACATGCATTACTGACCTTTCTTCAAATTCTACAGCAGTGTCATTTTTTGCAGTATTTCTGGAAAAGGAATCACTTACTTCATTTATTCCAGTATCACCATCCAACCCAGATGTTACATCCCGTTCACAAATTTTAACTGATAAATCATTTACCATCCAAGACTCCTTTGAATTAGGAGATACATTTTCCAAATCGGCACAGTTCCTTAAACTTTCAAATGAAGATTTCACACACATCTCATCTGTACAGTTTGTGTTCAACTGTTCAATAATTTTCAGACTAACAGTCTTCTCAGTTTGACCATTCATGTCTGATGACAATTGGCCACTTTGCAGGTTTGCGTTTTCTACTACAAAGCTGCTGACATTCAACAAATTTTGATTGTTTGAGCTGTCTTCCTGCAATAGTACACCACACTGAGATAGCTGGCTGTCAGAATTTTGCACAATTAACCCAAATACACTCGAAGAATTCATGTCTTCAGAAAAGTATAGTTCATTTTCACAAGGAGGCTTCACTGATGATTCAGAAGAATTTGACCAATGCTCGCATTTATTTTTGTTCCTCTCAGGGACTCCTTCTGCATTAGTTCGAGGTATATCAAGCACGAGATTTCCTGTGGTATTATTTCCATTATGACAATGATCCCCTCTTCCACACAGTCCAATTTCAGATTTAGATGAAGAGTGGCATTTTAGTCTGGCTTGCACCTCACTGGATAATGCTGCCATATTCACATTAGATAAGGCTGGATTTAGTGACAGCAGGTGAGAGGGTGGATCCAAAATCTGACTCCATTTTGCTTCAAAAACACTTGGTGACTCAGTCTCATCTGGAAGCAAGAAAAACAAAAACAAATCTTCCTGTTATTAAAATGTAAACCTGCTTTAATTCTTCATATCCATTTAGTTTTGTCAACATATCCTTGTCAAATACACATTGGTCATTCATTCACTCCTCTTGAATCAACTCTTGGTAAACCAATGAACCATCCACAAAAATACACGAGAAGATATCCACTAAGAGGATGAAATTTCCACTTTATCTTACATTTGGTTACTAATGTTAATTTGTCATTTATATTTAATACCCTTAAAAATGGTAATCCAAATTTACGCAAGATACAAATATTTAAGTCAAGATACAAATGATTTCACAGCATATTACTGAAGCCTCAATTTATACAGAGAAGTAATAAGGCTTGTTTGCAGTAAGTAAACAGAGCTAGAACTTTACAAGTCACTGGTTAGGCCTCAACTGGAAAACTGTGGGCAATTCAAGATGGCATACTTCAAAGACGTGACAGCATTAGAAATGGTACAGATGAGGTTTGCCATAATGTTAAAACAAAGTAGTAGTTAGGGTGATCCTTTTTGGAATAGAAGTTTAAATAATCTATTAGCAAATCTAACAGAAATTTTCAAAATAACGATGAGGAGACAGATCTCTGGAGAATGGATCAAAAGCCAGAGCTCATGAATTCAAAAATCACTGGATAAGGATTAAGAAGGAAGAACGCAAGAAATTTCTTCTTGTCAAGATCTGAAACTGTATCTGAAAGCAAGCAGAAATGATTTTAAAAGAAGATTATTTATAAAAAGCAAGTTAGACAGGTACTTGAAGATGAGAAATATACAGGGTTACTGACATAAAACAGGAATGGGGGACTAAGCATGACCTTTCTTTCAAAGGATCAGCGCACACATTACAAATCAAATGGTCTCCTCCTTTTGATGCATTTTTCTGATCCTATGAATGATTCAGCTGAACATAAGCCTTCATTAAAAGTATTTCTCTGCTGATGCATAAAATGTAACTCAATCAAATGGGACTGTTCATCAATTTAATAAAAGCACAGCACATAGCAAGCATCTTCAGTGATGGAAAACCTAAACATGAAATTCCTAAAATAGAAGACATCAATACACTACTAAAAAGAAAAACATGACATATGGAAAATGTACGAAAACTAAATTCAAGTGTTAAACCATAGAATTTTAAGATCTTAAGCAAACTTGTCATTTTATCCATACACCACCTCCCTGAAAAAGCTCTCATCTCCTTGCTCCTTCCTACACCGTTCCAAAATAAAAATTACATAGCATATATGTATCCAGGTCCATTTTGTGTTATTTTAGATTCGAATTCCACATTTTCTAGTAAGACAATCCACACCCCTATAATCTACTTTATGTTTCTCCCACCTTCTGATAATCCTAAATTTATGCACTCCAATTCTCCAAATCAGTAGAGATAACTTTTGAGCTACATTATGAAAATACTTCAATTTTGAGTAATTGAGATTTCAAATGAAAGGCAGCTAAATTTCTTGATTTTATCAACTTTAATGACTAATTAAACAAATGGAAATGTGAAATAAAACAAAGTGCTGAAACTATACAGATCAGTGTTTAATGAACAAGCACATAAATGTTTGTTTTAAACTTTCAATCAGTACGGTCAAATTATGGAATAAAATTACAAAGTGGGAGGTGAAGGAAATGAAACATCATAACACCCAAGGCTATGCACCTGGTGCTTGAAAGTGGGACTAGCATAGCTTTAGCAGTAGACCTGATGGGCCAAAGGGCCTCTTCTGTACAGTATGATTCTATTAGGCAGAGATGGAGTATATGGATTGAACGCTTAGAAAGTGCTTTACAAACAATTAAGCACTTTTAGACTGTTGTAATGTTGAAAATAAAGCAGTAAGTCAGTGGCACATGGCAAGGTTCCACAAACATCATTGCGAAAAATGACCAGATTGTCTGTTTCAGGTGTTAAGGAATAAATGTTGGTTAGGTAACTGACAGAATATCTCTGCTCCGATTCAAATAATCAGGGATTACCCAAGGGTGTATATGGGGCACTGGTTTATCAGTGCATCTGTGAGAATCTCTAGCAGTGCAGTATTCCCCCAGTGCCCTTCTCAGACCTACTACTTCCAGAAGCCTTCTACGAAGCTACAGGAAACGTTTGTGAAATTTCTCTATTCACCTCAAACACCGTGCTGGGTTAATTGGCACATCCATCTGATGCATCCATTTTGCTACATTGAATGTGCTTTGTAGATGTTTGGTGATGACAGCCTAGTGGTATTTTCGCTCGGCTGTTAATCCAGAGTCACAGATAATGTTCTGCAGAGCCAGATTCAAATCCCACCACAGCAGATGGTGGAATTTGAATTCAATAAAAACCTGTATTTAAGGGCTAATCATAACAATTAATCCCTTGTCGATTGTCAGGAAGAGCCCATCTAGTTCAGTAGTGTCCTTTAGAAATGGCAACTGCCATCCTTACCTGCTCTGACATACATGTGACTCTAGATCTGCAGCAGCATGGTTGGCTCTTAACCAGACTCTGCATAATTACAACTGAGCAATAATTGCTGACCTAGCTAACAATACCCTCATGAAAAGTGAAAAAACTACACTATTTTATTGAAAAGGAATTGTTCATGTTTAGGTTAGCATCTGTCGCCCATCTCTAATCATCTTAAGATGGTGAGGAGTTGCCTCTTGAACCGCTGCAGTCCTTGAGATATAGGTACACTTAGTGCTATTGGGGAGAATGTTGCTAATTCAAAATCCAGGAACTGTGAAAGAACAGCAATATATACCTTCAAGTAAGGACAGCGTGCAACATTTTTTTTGGGGGGGGGGGGGGGGGGGAGAAGGGGGAGTAAGGGGAAGGGGAGGTGGGGTATCCAAATGCTTCTTTCTAGCTATAAACCTCCATTCTCTACATATTCAGGAAATAGAGATTCAAGTATTGGACGCTAAATTTGTCCTTAGGATGCTTATAAAAAAGTTAGTATTTAGTGCCCATCCTGAAAAAGATAGTTGCATGGAAACGCGAGGAGTGGCATATTTCCCCAAAGGAAAACAACTAACTAGCAAAGAGCCTGACAGTGGATGGGTGACTGCCTGGTAGTCCAATAGGAGGAGGCAGGAGGTTCCACAGATCCCGCTTACCAGTTTTCTATTCTCTTAATTGGTGACAGTGATGAATCCTTGAAAGACCGCAGCAAGAAACTGCCACCACAGGTGCCCTACAAGAAGGGAGGAAGAAGATACGAATGGCAGTAATGATGCCAGATTCTTTAGTTAAAAAGGAGCACACACACGCTTAAAACTGCCAAAGTGACTCCAGTATGGTCTGCTTTTCTTCTGGTGCTCGGGGCAGCGGTGTGACAGAATAGGTGTAGGACATTCTTTTGGGGAAAGGCAAACAGCAAAGATCATGTTCACACTGCTGCTAACAACAGGGGTAGGAAAGGGGATGTGGTCCTGCAATCGGAATTTAGGGTGCAAGGTACAAACTTCACAAGCCAAAACTCCAAAGTATTTGAATTACTCCCAGTGCCATGTGCAAGAAAACACAGAAACAGGAATGTGTGGTTGGAAAGATGGTGCAGGAAGGAGGTATTTAGATTCCTGAAGCGCTGGGATTGACTACAGGGGAGATGGCACTGATACAAGTTGGACGGTTTGCATCTAAATAGAGCCAAGACGGAGTTCCATGAAAGATATTTTGTTTCTTCTGCTGGGGAGGAGTTTAAACTAATTCGAGGCTATGGAATCCTGTGGGGAGAGTGACCATCAAGAAGTAATATCAGAGTACACAAAATGCTGGGAAAGGGCAGACAGCACTAAAATAAATAGTAAATTAATAGATACAGTTGGACTAAGGGAGAAAGCACCAAATTCTAAACTAGGAATACACTGGATGTATGTGAATGCATAACGTGTAGTCAACATGACTGCTGAGTTAGCTTGTCGAGTGGCATTACCTTGGATCTCTTCTGTTTTTCACTTCCACTGGCAAAAATTTCAAGTTCACAAAACATGTGGCATTGAAATATTCCTATTTAACCTGACCAACAATGCATCCAAAAGAAGTTGTTAAAAGACAGTAGTGCTGAAAGAGATTATTCCCCCACCTCAAAAAAAACTTTTTGTCCTGCACTCACTAGGACGTTTCACAGGAATACAAATTCAAGCAGAAAATTAATATCTATTCCACACAGGAAGAGAGAAGGCAGACTGATGGGCAAATGACCTCAGTATACTGCCTTGCCAAGGGGAATGCACTCATTGTGGATTAGTAGTAAACAGCTAGGTTTGTTAATTTTTTTTAAAAAACAGGACAACTTGTTTCTAATTAGTCAGGTCACTGCTTTGAGAAAATCACCAGCAAAATGGCTGTTACCTTTTTTGTTGAGTTGAAACTGGCACATGCATATAAAAACGCTCTCTCTGCAAAGAACAGGGTCCTGTACATTAATACAGGTTGCTTCCAGAATACGAGTGTGTTACACTGCAAGCCCAACTGACAATCCAGAGTTGGTGGTTGCACATTCTGGGTTATCCCGAAAATGTCGCAAGGGCAGAATCTCTTTAATGTTAGACACCATGTTGCAAGTTTTACAAATGTGGGCTGATTGGATGCAGTCATCATCTCGCTTGTTACGAACAGCCAAAAGGGACATCACGTCAGATATGATCTGCTGGTTTTTGGGACATCCTGGAATTCCCCAAGGGCAGTGCGGGTCTACTGACAGCACATGAACTAAAGCACTTCAAGAAAGCAGGTTATCAACACCTCTCAAGGGCAACTAGGGATGGGCAATAATTGCTGGGCAGCCAGAGTCATCCATGTTGCGCAAATAAATAAAACAACATTAAAATTTGTGATAGGCAAAACCAATAAATCCTCAATTAATAGGTACAGTTGGACTAAGGGAGAAAGCACCAAACTCTGAACTAGGATTACACTGCATATATGTGAATGCATAATGTGTAGTTAACATGACTGTGGAGTCACAGATTATCTTGTGGCATTACCTTGGATCTCTCGTGTTGTCGAGTACCATTTATATAAGACATAGTTAGTGCCAAATCCAATCTAATTCAAAACATAACTGATACTAAATAATGTTTATTACACAACTTAAAGTCTTTTGGGTAAGATGGAAAGTAAATATTAAAATATCAAAATTGATTAGATGGTCACCAAAGCCACATATTGCATACTTGTTTGGAAATAAAACCAGAATAGATTTAATATAACTAGTACAAGCATAAAGTTCCTTTTGCTTTTCTTAAATAATCCTCCGACTGGTTGCTCAATTGTTCCTAAAATGTTCTCAAAGGACATTCGTAAATACTACTGTTAACTTCATGAGGAAATACACATTAGTTGCACTAAATGGCTCATTTCTGTGGTGGGAGTTTCAGGGCTAATACAAGAGGTAGGAGTCTTCTCTGCATTGACATTTGCTCTTTTGCGCAATGTTATTTTGTAGGAACTGAGAAAACCTTCACAAGGCCATTTGTCAATGTGGATTATTATCAAAGTGTCAAGTGACAAAATTCAACATGCAAAATAATGTTAAAATAGGCCCAACATTGAACTATAGAGCAGACACATGAAGCTGTAAAGACCTCGATCACTTAGAACACCTTGGTGCCAAAAGTGAACTCTCAAGTACCAGGTGAAAAAATCTCAAAACACGCAAGCAGAATTTATTTACAGCACAGGAATAAACGAGACATACTAACCTTTTCATGCATACCGGCAAAGAAAACAACTTCAATTGGAGATTGGTTGGCATGGTTTATCTAAAATTTAGCTACGACTGGTTTTGCTTCAGTGGTGAATGAAAAGCACTCAAATTTTAATAACTGCTACTATTCTTTTTAACTGACAAATTGTGCAAATTTAGAGAGCTTGAGGCTGTTGGATAACAATTATTTTATTACTTATTCAGTGTTCAGTCCTGTTCCTTTCATTGACTGGTTACTGATTATAAAAGGAGTCCAGGGGCCACAAACAAAACATTAAGAACCCATTTCACTTGCATTGTTGTTAATCATTTCTCTCATATCCCTCCTCCTCCCTCTGACCAGTTAAAGTTGGCATGCTGTCCTACAAGAGTAATTCTTACTCAAATAATGACTGAATACAGCTTCATTCAAAGCTCTGGATTCACCACAGAGACTATTTCCACAATGTTCATCAGTATTTAATAATTTGGAGCTGCAGCTAGAGATAGCCATGTTGCCAATACCCCAGGAATACCAAGAGGAGCTTGGAGATACAATTACAGGATTGCAATGAGTAGATACTGACAATTATCTTATGGAAGCTAGATAGATTAAGCTCATGGGTTCAGCCCTGACCAAAACAGCATATAGTCGCACTCTCTACAGTCTTCAAGGAAGGCTTCTCTACTTCCAGAATAAAGATAAAACATTAATACACATTTGAAGAAATTAACTTACCTTGATTCTGCTCAAATTCATCCAACACTTTGTCCAGGTTAAATGCCTCAGCCTGGAAATAGTTCTCCATTTGTTAATATTCACTACCTGCACAATGCCCTCAGTCTGTCTGAACCTGTTAAAATACAAAAGAAAACCATCCCATCATGATTCCTTTGTCAGTACGAATGTTCTATTCATTTATGAATAGAGTTGATCTAATCTGCGGTTTCACATCAGTATCCACTTCTTGGGTTTCAAGTTAAAATCCTAATCCTCATTTTCCATCACTCCATAACCTCACCACATTCCCCCACCTCAACCTCAAAACCTATCTGTTCCTCCAATTTGGATCTCTTCAGCATACTCTATTTTAATTGTTTCACAATTGGTTATTGCATGTTCAGCTGCCTGAGCCCCCAAGGGGGAATCTCATCAAGGCAAAAGACGGCTTTGCCAGCAACTGGGGTGGAATTTTTCCACGTGCACAGCAGGTTTCCGCCCGCAGCATATTCCCTTTCATGACAAGATCAAATGGATGAAACCAAGACAACATTCCAAGGAAGTGAGCAGCCAATTAAGACAACTAAAACACCACTTGAGGTATTTACAGCGCCTGCCAGCATCACCCTGGTTTTGGACATCACCCGAGGTGAGGCTGTCCACTTTGTTAATTTGGCGTTGCTGTACAGAAATGATTTTCAAACTACACGTGTCAGCATGAGCACGATTTTGCTGAAATCTGTCACCAGGAATAAAGTCAAAAGCTTGGTGAAATTTCAATGGCCAGTGACTCTTGTACATATGTTCCAAAGCTGTTCGGAAGTACTCCACTTTTCACCTTACCCAGATTCAGAGCAGCACAACTCCCACATTTACCTAAATTCTGATATTTATTTTGAAAGCTGCTTTACTTATAGTAGAATCCACTGTGGAACTGCAGCCTCTGGGATTATAAACATTGTGTAATTTGAAATCCTCAGTCGAAAATTAAAATGTTCAGATTAATTACATCAGAGGGCCTTTAGGAAACCTTGGTGTGATGTTGCTATGGATAAGCAGTAGTTCAGATGGAAGTACATACCACAGTACTAGTTGAGTACATACACTTTTTTCTTAAACAAATTATGTTAAAAACACATAATACAACATAAATCTGAAAATCTATGTTGATTCATTATGCTAACTTTAATGACTAAATACTGAATAATACTGTGCAACTTGATTGTCATTGCCTTATTGTTAGCATCTTGAGTGTCATTCAAGTGTCTAAATGGGGTCACATTACAAATAAGAGATAACAAAGGTGCAGAGCTGGATGAACACAGCAGGCCAAGCAGCATCAGAGGAGCAAGGCGGCTGACGTTTCGGGCCTAGACCCTTCGTCAGATTACAAATAGTCTGGGAAGCACTGTTCGTTATTTTGTCATTAGTCTTGTTGCCACCGAACAAGAAACCTAGATGAATTAAAAAAAAAAACAATTGTGGGGACTGGAGATCAGAAACAAAAAACCAGAAATTACTAGAGAAACTCAGCAGGTCTGGCAACACCAGTGGGAAGCATGCAGAGTTAACTTTTTGAGTCCAGTGACTTGTCATCAGAACTGTTAGGTCGCAAGGAACAACTGGTATTTATGCTGAAGCCAACCTGGGATGGGGGTTAGCCCTACGTAGTGTGTTTCTCAGTTCTTGCATGGTATTTTGTATATTACACCAGTTTTGCTGGTTTTGGGTATGGGATCCTTTACGTTAATCAGTAGCTGTCGTAGGGTGTTGTTGGTTTGTGGGCTACTCTGATACCTAGGGGTAGGAGTAGTCTTGTGGTCAACTCTGCAAAGTTCTTGATGTATGGTAGGGTAATTAGGGAGTCTGGTCGTGTTGTCCTCCTGCTGTGGTCTGTCATCTTGGAGGAACTGCGGATTTTACATTTTGGGTATCCATTCCTTTTGAAAGACTCCGTATAGGTGCTCCTGTTTGGCTTTGCGTAGTTCCAGGTTGCTGCAATGTGTTATGATTTGTCTGAGAAAGGATATTATAATGAATACTGTCATGGTTGACTTGAAATCAGAGACTGGAATTGGAGATTTGGGTGAAAAAAAAGGCAGTAACGACCTCAGTAAAATGTTCTAGCTTTGTTCATGTACAATGGAGATGCATTGGCTGTGCCCTCACCAGTTTGACACATACCTTGATAAAGAAAGCTTTCCGAAAATAAGGTTGCCAAATTATGCCTGATGTCTTATGCTAACTTAAATACTGTAGGTACCCGTGCAATCAATGCTTTCATTGGGTGTTGTAGCTTTTTAAGTTTAAGTTTAAATGAAAAATTGATAATTCCCAAAAGGTATTGATGAATTCTCTAACTCTGTTTTTCTGAGTGTTAAAACACCTCCTGTCAACAAAGATACAGGATACCTTATCTGTAACTGCATCACTTAATAAATGAGTTAGTGAGAATGACAAAGGAGCCCCTGAAGATCGAAATGAAAAGCTCTTTAAAAAAAACAAAACAACTTTCAGCCTGCATCCTTACCTGGTCTGGTCTACATGTGACGCCAGTTCCACAGTAGGTTAACTTTTGACTGCCCTCTGAAGTGGCCCAGCAAGCCACTCAATTCAAGGGCAACATGGGAGACACCACAAATTATGGCTTTGCCAGTTGTGCCTACATTCAATGAAGCAATAGAAATTTTTTTATATTTGTTCCTAACCAAGAATATCAAAAAAATCCATAGCCACTATACCATTTATGCCTGATGTTGCAAGCACTCACTCAGCCTGTCAATATACATTCTTTTATTGCAAAAATATGAACATGCCAAGATATAGGTAGGAAGGTATAATCAATTAATTAACATTTACCAAATTTGAGCCCAAATATCTAACATGTTTCCCAGTTCAATTTTCTTAATGGTATCTTCCATTTAGTGCTTACTATTCTGAATCCATGGATTCCAGTACAGATTAATGATATTTGATTTAACTTTGCTAACAGGTCTTATGACCTGCGCAATTTCCCCCAGTCTCATTTTCCTTTAGCAGTATTCAAGTGAATGGCTGTTACATGCAAATATTCATGCCAATTGTGACTAAGTTTAATGCAAAAAACTCTCAAACATTGTCTGTCCAGAAGAATTGGAGGGCTAAGTACTCTACTTTATCCTTCTCAACCATGTTGTTTCGAAATCCATTTAATTGTTTTTAAAAACCATTAGTCCAACACATAGTACTCAATATGGAATTACAAATTACACATTCACTCCAACCAAAATGCATCCCTCCTATTAGGTACAGGAAAACTCAATTCCTATTTCCAGCAAATTCACCAGAAACATGCAACAAACCCTGTAGTTCAACATCTCTAAGCATATTTGTTGTAAGCTACAGTCCATCTAAGATAGTTTGTTTCTAAAAGTATCACAAGACCTTCATGTCGAAAAGAAATTATCCCAAAAATCCTCAAGATTCTCACATGCTGTTGAAATAAACTAAAGAAGTACTCTCGTCCTCCACTTACCCCCAAACTGACTTCAATTTTAGTAACCTAACTCAGCAAGTACTCTCAAATCAATAAACCAAATAATCCCAAGTTCCACTGTATTGGGCACAAAGAATATCTCCCACAGAACTAGTCCAGTGGTACTTCTAAAACTATTAGAACTTAACATTCTTTCAAAAAGTTTGCATTGATAATATTCCTACGACAGCACCTTCTAAACTCCCACCTTCTATTAGGACAAGGCTATCAGAAGCATGGGGACACTAGCACCTGCAACTTCTTCCCAAGCCATAGCCGACTCAGAAGGACATGACCGTTCCTTCACTGTTTGCTGCAACTCCCTTCCTAACTACCCTGTTTCTCCAAGACCCAAGGACAGCAATCATTCAAGAATGCAGCTCACCACCATCAAATGGGCAATAAATGCTGCCCTCACCAGAGGTGCCAACTGGCCATGAATGAATAAAAATGTTATAACACTTGGTATACAACATCCAACCCTCAAAAGAGAGCAACGTTTTTCCCCAAATTGCAGCTGAAACAGAGTAGCCTTTAATGAGCACTACACAGCAATTATGATCGTGGAAATGTAGATAGTACTCAAATGGAAGCAGCACCTGCAGCCATGGTATAAAAAGAAATAAGTTGTGCCAGTAGTAGAAGACCGATAAATCCATCAGCAGAACTCGAACTGTTCCAGCACAGAAGGGGGTTATTCAGTCCACTGAGTCCATACCTGGCTTCCTGCCAGAGCACCTCTCCGAGCTCGACTGCTTCACAACTTTTTCCACAGCCCTACAAAATTTTAGCTTCAAACAATTATTCAGATCTCTTAAAAAGTTGCAAGTGAATTTCACTGTCCAATCCTAACCATACTGTATATTAAAAAGTTCTCAAATATTCCTTTTGTGAAACACCTTGTATCTGTACCCTCAGGTTGTTGATTGCTCCGCCGTGGGAACAGTGTCTCCTTGTGTCCTGGCCAGAGACCTCATTGTTTTGAGCATAATTATCAAATCTCCTCTCCAATCTATCCAAACAGCTGAAGCCCCTAAACTTTAGAACCATTCTTGTCTAACTTTTCAGCATCCTCTCCATGTTCTTCACATCCTTCCTAAAATGTGTTGACTAGATTTGGATAATACTCCAAATGGAAACCAAAATGTTTCATACAGATTTATCACAACACCCTTACTATCCAGTCAGTATCAATTGGAGATCCCACTTTAAATTTAAAGTCAGAAAAGGTTATATTTACTTAAATCTAAGACCAAAGTTTACCTTAAGACTGACTGATTCACTGTCGATCCATCTTAATAGAATTTTACACGAAGAGGTTACATTATGAAACTAAAAACAACTTGGTAGCTAAGCCAGATTTACTTCTACATGAAAAAAACATATAATTTGAAAATCAAGGATCAATCTGGCAAGGTACTTAAAAATTCAGCATTAAATGGAATACTACAAATCCACAATGTGGTCACTTTATAAAAAATACATTCATGCAATGTGGGAATGACTGGTTTGACTAGAATTTATTGTCTATCCCAACTGTCCTGGAGAAGGTAGCGATGAGCCTTCTTGAACTCTGAACTCCTTGGAATATCAGTATACCCACAATACTTTTAGGAGGG